TAACTTTGAATTATCATGTCACAGAAATCTACCTTTCATTTTCAGGCAGAAGCCTCAAAACTCAGAACTTTGATTAATGAAATATGAAGAGTTTATGCTATCTGTTTCTCCAGGTTTGAAGGAACAATTTTTCTGCTACTGAGAAGACAGGTAGCATTACTAAGAAACACAGATATTTTGCTCTCTCTCCCAGGCATTGGACTAGGGAGTGAGATATGTGGGCAGAAATCTCAACTCTGCCAGAGAGTTTCTGGGTGATGATGGCTGGAGCCAAAAGGCATAACTTTCCACATCCTGGGAGTCATATAATTTTTGAGAGAGTCACTCAAGGTCTTTCTAGGAGAATTCTGGAGGTGGTTGTTTGCTCTCTATAGATGGAGTCTGGAGTCAGCTGACACTTAGATGCCTAAGGTAGATAAAACAAACCCTTGTCTTCATCTTTCTCTTCATAATTGGGTCCATCTCCAGATTCCCTCAGTTAAATGGGCATAACAATCTATCTTTTTTACCCATGCTTCTGGAACTGCCTCAGGGCTTTGTTGTCTCAGCAAATGTTGCCCAGTGCAACAACATGCTGATTCTGGTACTGGACATGAGGTGTCACTTGTATTTCAGATAATAATAATAACAAAAAAATAATTATATAATAATAACAACAACAAAAATAATAATAATAATTATAAATTTTTATGTCATTAATGGGAGTTTGTTGCATGTAATAGGTTCATATCAACCTTGTCCATGGCAGGCAGAGGTGAATGGAATGAGATGATCTTTAAGTTCATTTCAAACCAAGCCATTCTGTGATTCTGTATTTTACATCCTTATTAAACTTGTGCTATGTACAGTGCTAAAATTAAACAGCCTGAACATCAGTTTCACCAAGTTTCATGCCTGAAATCCAAATTATAAGGTGAATGTAAACATCTAATCAAAATCTAGGTATTAGCATGGCATCCGATGATACTTGAGACCTATGAATACAGGATGCCTGCATGGATGTACAAACATAAGGCACAGTGGCATGACACATGAAAACTAAGTATGTTTTTTTGATTCTGATGTCTAAGTTGTTATATTAGAGGTTATGCAAACCTCCTTCTGCTGTTGGAAAGACAAACACAGTTTTGTTTTCACATGAAGTTCAAGATCTTCACGCAAATGAAAGGCCCCAGAAAGTGTGAATTTAAGGCAACAAACTCATTCACAATAACAGCATAACAAGAAGCTAGAAGTTTTGCACAAATCTAAAGTTTGGGCCTGAAAATGCAAAACAACACAAAGAACAAATCTTTCCACTCACTTTTCTGTGGCAAACGGAGAATAGGGGACATGCAAAGCATTTGTTTTTAATTTGTTTGTTTGTTTTGGACTTGTCCTAATGAAGGGCTTTTCCTAGCTGTTCCCTTCCTCCCCCACCTCCCCAGACCTTCCAGACTCCCTTGTGCTTCTCTCCTCTTTCCTTTTATTTATTGAATTTTTGAAAAGAACCGAAGGGGGTCCCCAATATCCCATCACCTTGGAGAGCTTGTTTCCCTACAGGGCTGCAGATGCCAGGCAGAAAGGGCTGAAACAGGCAGCAGAGAGGCAAGGAGAATGTTATCAATCATTCAACATGTTAAAAGAGAAGAAGGAGCAAGAAAAAGAGGGAGAGAGAAGGCGGGAAGTGGGGTGGGGGGAAAGAGCCTGGGCTGAATTGGAGGAATTTCCTCCCCCCGGTTGCTGAAGGGAGGTTTTTTGGACATCTGCCCAGACACATGCCGAGTCAAAGAAGCGGGATAAATTCTGGAAGAATGAATGGAGGGAGAGGAGGGGTCAGGAGGACAGAGGGGAGCGTGGGCTATGGGGAGCAATGGCAGCTACCGGGACAAAGGAGGTCTGTAAGGGAAGACTGTAACAACAGCATGCATGTGTGTGTGAGTGTGTGTGTGTGTGTGTGTGTGTCTTTTTCTTTTTTTTTTTTTTTTTTTTTTCCTTTTTTTTTTCTTTTTGTGCCTGCTAGATGTTTCAAACATTCATTTCTTTAAGGTCACTGTGTATAGCAGTGAGACCTCTTGGTTTTATGGCAAGACGCAGCTTGTCTCTTGGATCTTCTTCTGTATTGCCTGAGACAGACCAGGTGCAGGAACAAATAGAATCTATAACCAGCCAGGCTGCATCAGAGTTGGTAAACACATTTTGAACAGCAAGGGCAATATGAATGAGCAAAACTCATGGTAAGCTCTCACCATCTTCTAATATCTCCAGGCAAGCCAGTGTAATCTGAAGGATGCACTGTGCCAGGCAATTTCTGACTGTGAGTCAGGGCATAGATGGGCAAATTGAGTGGTCAGCTTGGACAACTCAGATGGAAGGTTAGAAAAATCATTCTGTTTAGCAGACCTGGGATGTGTAGATCATGGTCTGGGCACCTTGTTTCTATGCCTTCTCCATCCCTGAGGTTTCAGGAGCTCACTCCCTTGGCTCTCTCAGTTTAGCTGTTCATCCAAAGGAACTCTGGACTTTTTGGAGGGTTGATGTGGGTTAGGACCTGCTCAGATTGCTCAGATGGAGAGACAGCCAATAAAACCGGGCTGGCAGCAATCCCTGTCCAGAAGAGCCAGCTGGACATGGATTGGTAGCAGTAACTCCTTCCTTGTGTCTGATTCAGCCAAAAAAATTTTGTCAGTCCGTCCTTTCAGGTCTCTGCTGGCCTTAAGAACTATGAATCTGAGAATGGCTCTGAATTTGCTGAAGAGTCTGTGTGACACCTTATGTACCCCAGGTAGACAGTCATAAGGTATTTTTACTAATGTTCTTCCAGTCAATGACTCTGGTTATGAGCCACTTTCATGAACTCCACCCCAAAGTGGTGAGCACCCCTTATGCTCTTGAAGCAGCTTCTTGCTATGGTTGAATCTTGCTCTGATTGTGCCACCCTTTTCTTGCATAATTTTGATAAGTTTCTGATCTTTTCTTCTTTTTTGATCTTTACGAGTTCTTTATTGTACTCATCTAGGGTGACCAAATCTTATCCAGAGCTTGAATTATTAGGGCCACCTAAAGAACTGAGGGGTAAAGACTCTGTCAGCTCAGAGCCTGCACCCATAAAGCTGTTTTGTTTCAGCTGCTGATGAAAAACTTGCTATTCATATAAGAAAGGATTTCATGTTTGAGCCAGGTCACTTTTCCATCATAACACATAATTATGGAACAATAAATAAGACCTCCCAATGTGAAGAATTCATAGAATCATAAAATCATAGAATATGATTTGAGTTGAAAGGGACCCACAATGATCATCAAAGTCCAATTCCTGACCCTGCACAGGACAAGCCCCAGAATCACAATCACACGTCCATATGCTTCTTGAGCTCTTTAAGGCTTGGGGCTGTGACCACTGCCCTGGGGAGGCTGTTCCAGAGCCAGACTACTCTCTAGGAGAGGAACCTTTCCCTGATGCTCAGCCTAAACCTCCCCTGACAGAAGTTCATGCCATTTTCTTGGCTCCTGTCATGGGTAACCTGTCTGCTCTCCTTCTTCCTCCTGGGAGGAAGCTGCAGACTGACTCAATAGGCCTGGGCAACTTACCTGGGTTATTGATTTTACAGAATAGAATCAGAGAATCACAGAACGGTTTGGGTAGGAAGGGGCCTTAAAAATCATCCAATTTCAATCTCTACGCAGTAGTCTCAGATGCCACCCACTGCTGGGTCAAGGTGCTCAGAGCCCCAGAGGTGTAAGGGTATTCCCTCTATCATCACACTACTGTGACATTCACTTGTGCCAGTGCAGTCCATAGATTTCTAAAACTATGTCTTTGGTAAATGAATGGACTAATTAACTCACTGAAATTCCAAACTACCTAGAAGGTGCTTTTGATGAGATCCCAAACTGAAGGTTGATCTGCTGTGATGGCTCTGGTCAGCATTTTGTCACCCATAGGTTTATCACATTGTCTGCTCTCTTTTGATCCAAAAAATCCTCTGATCACCTGCTTCCAAAGCTGTTCTAAAGGTAGCAGCCACTACAAGGCTGTTGAGATAAAATTTCTCTCCTGGTATTTTAACATGTAGAAGACTCAAAAATAAGCTTGATCCGTTTGTTATATTCATTGCCATTGTCACCCTCTTGCTGTAACTGAAAATGTTTCTATTGGTACAAATTGTAGTTAAATTGGCTTTGCAGAAAATATCCTTCTTACCACCTCAAGAAACAAATAAACAGAGATATATCCCCAGAGCAGGTTCAAATATAACATTTTGATCACTCACACAAAACAAACATTGGTATAATTCATTCATCCGTTAGTTTTTCTAGCCCCTAAGATAAGCACAAATGAGATAAGCATGAAAAGGAAACATGAACAAATAGGGCTTTTATGTAGAATAATCATTATAATAATTTTATATTGGGATGCAATGGCTTTAAAGGAAGAAGTGGATGGCAATACTTGCATTACACTGCACTTAGCCTATGTTAAAGGCCTGCACCAGTATATTAATTCAGTTGTTTCATTTATCTTTAGTATATCAGCCCATTCTTTTTCACAAAATATCCAATTAATCCTTATTTTGCACAACTTAAATGCTGTTGACCCGCAAATACAAAATCAGAGCTTACAAAAAGTCTCCAGCTGTTTGGCCTATGGGAATTTTGAGAATCCAGAAAAGCCTTTTTTTACTTTATTACTTTTGTGAGTACAATCATGTTGTTGAGAGACAATTCATATTAGAACACAGTCAGGGACAGCACCAACTGAGCAACTTGATCTAGTGGAAGGTGTCCCTGCCCATGGCAGTGTGCTGGAACAAGATGAGTTTTGAGGTCCTCCTCCAACAAAAGCCTTCTAGGAGTCTGTGACTTGTATGTCAGTGTTAATGGTGGGGCATTCCTCCTTGGTGTTATGCTTGTTGCTCTGCTTAGAGCAACAAAGCTCTAGGAGCCTGGGTCTCAGAGCCTGGTTCCTTCTGCTGTCACAGTCCCAGTGAACACAATTTTAAAATCTGGGTTTATTTCTATTTTGGGTGGAATGAGAGAAGGCTTGTTCCCTTGCTGTTGGAGCTGCTCAAGTTGAAAGTAGGGAAGCATCCTGTGGCTTGCGCAGCTGTGCTGTACCAACTGCTGCAACCTGGGAGAGGATTTCAGCCTCTGGTCTTGCAAACTTGGCTTCATACTCACTTCAGTGTGATTGTTAGAAATAAAAGAGAAAATAAAGAATAACATTCAGAAAAGTCAATTTAGCTATAAATAAATCACTTATATTAGCTACCAGTTTACTTAGAACATGCACTACAATGTTTTTCACATGCAACACTTGAAGTGCTGGCCTGTATAACCCAGTACAGATTTTATGCCAGGACAACACCCCATGTTTTATCAGTGTAATACACCAATAATAAATCATATGACACCTAGATTACACACAGTTTTGAGAATTAAGATGCCTTTAGGAATATTTTTTTTCCTCTTATTCTTATGTAACTGCAGTCTAGAATCATTGTTACTTCAGTGTAATGTTATCCATGTAGTAAAAGCAGTGTAACTTCTTCATGGTAACTCACCTATTTAAGGTAGAGATGACCACTTGTTGTTCCAAGGCTTTGTTAGGACAACAGTGTGTTTTTCATTTGGTGCCAAAGAGTTTTGATCATCAGTGAATGCATCCACGAAAGATATTGTGGGAGAAATGTATGTGTAAGGCACACGTGTAGTTATAGATCCAGGTTGCATCTGCTTAAGGTTTACTGTTTCACCACAGATCTATGTATACTAATCTAGATATAAAAATGTCTCCTAATAAAGCAAAATTTGTTGCCCCATCAGAGAATTTTCCCAGTATATATTCTCTGTATAGTTCTTGACTACTGGTCCTTGAGTTGAGCTCAGTGTTTTCAGGCCAAGATGATGCTATAATCCTAAATGACGGTATCTATTATTTTTCCTCTATATTTTCATAGTGGCTGTTTTTCACAAAGTCAGTATCTTTCACAAAGTCAGTATCCAGCTCTGTCTAAATAAATAGATATTACCTTATAAATCACTACCACAGGGGATCAAATCATGTACCCAGTTTTGCTGTCTCTTTTTCTGTTGATATTTGGCTCAATGACTGAGACCCAACCCCATGTTTACCAACTACTACTGATATTTAGCTCAGATATAGGTATTTGGTGTAAAGAATGGTCTGCCTTCTTTACCCAGCCAGGAGATTGACCTGTCAGCCCAGAGATTGGGGTTTACAGTGCCCTTTGTTGAGCTCTGATTACAACAGTGCTGGCAAAGCCACCGTTGTGTTTGGCACTTGTTGGTCCCGGATTTGCTCCACAGTGCTATACACTAAAATGAAAAACATCTGGTCAGCTCACATGCTCTATTTAGACTGGTTACACAAATTCATGAGATTATACAACCGAGACCAGCGATCCTATTTCTCCCTCTTCTGAAGCATTTAATATTTTGTCTTTAATCACACCAGACAGACAGCTGGCTGGTTCCCAGGTGGCCTTTCTCAAATGGTGAGCCCTGCTGCTTGACCGTCGGCACAGGTCAGTCTGCCACCACCTCGCTGCTCTGCAAGGATGCCTTGTGTCCTCCCTGCTTCCCTTCCTGAGCAATGGAAGCTTCTGCCAACAGACCAGCTGTGGAAGCTGGTGGAGTTCTTGAAGTGCAAGGAGCTTCTTCAGGCAGTGTATTGAGCTCGCTTGCTCCTTGGGTTCCACTATTTTGACAGTGTGGATCTTCCAGCAGGCAGGGCAGAACTGATAACCCTCAGCTGCAGCTCCAGGAAAGGCTATGGATTCCCTGACACTGATGATGATCCTGGGGAAAGGAGCACGGTGAATCACAGCAAGAGTTCAAATCAGGATTTCTGATGGCTTTGCTCTTACTGTCCTCTTTGATAATAAATGGCTCAAGCATGCATTTCATCAGGCTGCCTCTTCAGCTCCTGAGTGAGGAGGTTTCCTGCGCAGAGCGTTTATGAAAAGCTCATCACTGGAAAATGGCAGTGCTCTCTAACTGGCTTCCCACCAGGTTCATGGCAGCTGAAAATCAAGTTTAGTAGCTCGAGCTCAGTAAATTCATCTTTTAATTAAAATATGTAATTTAATGTTAGAGACCTCATTCTCCAAGAAGGGTACAATTATAAATGCCCACATCCGACCTCGATTGCTGAAAATTGGCATAGTGCCTCTATTAGGTTAGAGATAGCAAACCCAATCTGACTTATTGCTGTATCCCTTGCCAAGCAGACAGACACAGTCTTAATCCCAGATACAAAAATATGAGTAAATGGTCATTGGAGTTGACTTATTTTGCATGTGAGGTGACCAACACCCCAGTTTGACCACAGGGAGAGCTGTGGATTCTGAGCCCACACAGTGCCACATTGAATCAGCTGCCTGCAAAGAGATGAGTGGGGATGGCGCTCAGCAAGCAGTCCCAAACTCTGTATCTAGAGGCTGCCCAAAATTGCTATCACGGTCTATGGGATCTGATCAGAATTTCTCCTTCTTTGTATATGTGTCTTTCTATGTTTGCATATAAATAAAAAGCAGGTAAACTAACAGAAAATAATTAGTGCCCCTTATCTCAGGAGCCCAAGCAGATTTCTTCCACTTCCCAGTTCATGCCTCCTTTATAAGTGTTTTCTCTTTATCGTGTGGTAGACTCTGCTGAAATCCTGGACTTCACCAGCTAAGATTGAGGAATGGCTCCTTTAATTTGCTTGAAAGTGGTCCAGTCTTTGGTGTCTAGATAGCTCTGGTTCGTATCTTAATAATTTTCATGCCTTTGCATGAATTTTTAAAATAGGAAATACCCTGGTGAGCCCCTGGATCTTATTCTCTTGGCTGGCAGATTCCTGTCTCTATCAAGGCAGCCAAATAAATCTCATTCTCCAAAACCACAAGAACCTCCTCTTCCACACAGGGAGAGGAGCCTGAGCTTTAGCTGGGAGGTGCATGCACAGACATGTGTGCAGACGTGCAGGCATGCACTGTTTGATTCACTATTCCTCTCATCCCCCTTTCACCTATTAGTGTCCTCTGAAAGATCAGGTTACCTTGCCAGTGGAAATATATGAGCTCGTTGTGTGATATAGCACAACTGCAACAGCAGATCATATAATTTTCCCCCGAAGACTTGTTGCAGACTATGTCGAGTCATTTGTATTTATGACAGCTTGGGGGTGATTTAGTACGACCTCACTTTGATAAAAGCCATTTAGAGCTCATAAATATGGGTGACACACTGCCTTCTCGGCTGGAATTTTAAATGGAGAGCTGCATTTGCATTCCCATTGAGCTTTTATTGTTTAGGGGGTAAGGATGGGAAGGGACGAGGTGAAACAGGAAACAGAATGAATGTGCAAAAAGTAAAAGGGCCCTTGAGGAATGAAGGATGCTGCTGTGCTTAGAGTACCTCTAGCTTGAAGCACCCATGGTGGCCTTTCCTCCCCACACTCCTCCTGAGCATGGGACAATTTGAAGTTCTGCTCATCCCAAATTGGTCAGCAGGTGGGAGAAAGCGATTCTTAGGTTTTGGGACAACATTGATTTAGCATTGAGTTTTCATAATAAATAAAGAAATCTGCATGCCAGCAGGTTTACTTTTAGTTTGGTCCTTCCTGTTGTGTGCTGTAATTTTTACTTAATTTCAAGGAGCCATTTACCAACTATATTTATATTCTGTGCCCAGTTTATAAGGAAGTTGACAATTTATGGCCAACAATAAAAGATACTTAAGCCAAACATAGAGCTGTCAGATTTTATGCATGGTGCTTAAATTCATCATTGATGGAAGCAAGTAGGAAGATTGTTCCTGAAAAATTCTTCTTTTTTTTTCTTTTCCCTATAATTTCTGGTTCCCAAAGGAACCTAAGCATCACAGCCCACTAAATTTCTCACAGAGGTGAAGATCTTATTTTATAAAAGAGGACTCAAAAGATGAAGCAGTTTTCATCTTTGTAGTCATTGGCAGAGGCAGGACCTGAGCCTAGGTGGGCATCTTGACCATCAGGTCATCAAACAATTCACTCCCTGAAGCCACGAATTGTCCTGCTCTCTGGTTTTCCTTTCTACAGTGCAGGTCAGCAGGAATACTGGAAGCTGTTCTGGGTGGCTGGAGACTTATCTGACACATTCTTGGTTAGTCCTTAATGGTGTGATTACTCACTGGAGGTAGATAAGGACCATGATACTCAGTTTTGTGTGTAAAGCTATCCTATTCATGGCCTTGATGCTTGGGGATGAGGATTACCAAGTTAAACTAACCCAAATCTCTTTAGGAGCACCTATATATACATCTTTTTGGAAACTTATATGTGTAAACACTTTAGATTTTTGTTTAAAATCCTGAACAATGTCACCTCCGAAGATTACCTTTGAAATTTACTTTAGCATATACCTGTACATTTGAAATATATCAGAAAGATTTAAGCTGCTCAATTTTTAAGCTCTTTTTAAGCTTTTTGGAGTGCTCTTTATGAATTATAGGAATTTTTTTGAACACTATTTTTATTTTTGATGTCTAACAGGATAAAGCTGTCACAAAAGCAAAATAAATCTTGCCTACCTATCAAATTATTTTTATGGTGCAATATATCATTAGAATTGTGTACCAAATTATTTAATTTTATCCATAAAAAATCAATTAATTGTGTTGAAATTCTTTTTGTCCTCTGGTTGGATAATGTTTACAGGTTGAACCTGCTAGTTCAGTTTAATGCTTACGGCAGCAAATCCAATGCTTCCCTTTAACCATCTTATTACTAAAAATTATTTTTATCACAACCTCATTATATATATGTAGACTTAAGGAGTCTTCAGAATTGCTTGTGGATGGTGGTGGACTAGCTCTACCCAGGAACTGATTCAGAGGTGGGGATGAATATAAAAAAAGGTGCTGAGGCTGCAGCCTGGTTCTGCTTTAGTCTCTGCTGGCCCATGGGCACCACGTGGGACACTCAAGTCTTCTGCTGCCATCCCTGGAGACTCCCATCTAAAACCTAGGCAACAGGATCCAGAGGAATTAAAAGGCAGTGTGCATTTGATTAAGAAAATGAAAAGAAAATCACAGTCCCTGCCCTGAAGATTGTACACTGTAATCAATGGCAGCATTAATGTGGAACTTCAGTGCACTCTGAGGAACAGTAAAACATGCATGATGAGACCCTGAA